TGAGTGTCTGTGCCTGCAAAGTATGTGAGAATATTTGCACGTGTGTGTGTCTGTCTATGAGCTTGTATGTGTGCCTGTATGTGTGGGCGTGTTTGTGTTTGTGTTTGCTTCTCTGTATATGTCTTCGTGTATAAAAGTGTTCAAGTGTTTTGAAATTTTAAAGGAGGAGGACTAAAGTTTACTACATTTTTTTTTGGGATGATATTTAGCTGAGATGTCGTTCACATCAGTGATAGGTCATCCTCCTCTCAAATAGGTTTGTCGTATAGTGACCAGGTTTTTAAATAAAAAAAAATAAATTTAAGTGCTTCAGACGCTTGCAAAATTAACTGCAGGAGGTCAAATGATCGTGTCGGACACATTAAACATTTTCAGTTGGCAGGAAATTTTGAATTTTGCCCGGGTGGCGGCTTAAACCTACTCTTATCGATTTTGGACCACCAAAGGATCTTTAACATGCACAACTTGCACACGGGACCTCCGAAATTTTTCGCCCTTATCTGAGAAAGGTAGGTGTTCGGTCTTACCTCTACCATCGGATCGGGGATGTGGCTGAAAGACAACAGTAAGAAGGAGCCGAGGAGTAGCAGTAGAAAGAAAGGCTTCAGAAAGAGTCTGGAGTCCAGAGGAAGGGGCCAAAGGATGTCAGGCGGTGGGGGCAGAAAGTGGAGACGAAAGCAGACGACAGTGCATTGTTAGAGAGCAGGAAAGGAGGGGAAAAGAGAACATTTTAGAGAAGAACACTTTCCGTCGTTTTTAGGATTCGAACGCGAAACCTAGTGTACACAGTAACATATCGACCACGATAGCCCTACAGTGATCAGAATGAAATCTAGAGGAAATGTTATGTGAAAGAAATGAATAAGAATCTGCATCGGACCTTCTTTAGAGGAGTATGGAGGTCGTCTTTGTTTACCTGCTTTTTGAATTATCGTTTTACCAGAAAAGTTTCAATACAGAATGTTATCACACCCCAAAAATACCTAGACAAAAGGATGTCACGTAACTTCTTCACATTTCAAAATAGCAAGTACAGGTTCTTGGTGTCTGTATTATTGGTTTATTATCTCGGGCTGCACAACTTACTTTCTATTTATTGTAGGATTTTTACCCC